CGGGGGGGCGGCCGGGCCCTCCCGGCGGGGGGAGGCGTCTTGCTCGGCCGCGTTCTCTGCAGAGCCCCGCTACAGGCTTCCTAGCCGTTCGCACGAGGGGTGCAATCCCGACAAGGAGCGCTAGGCCCGCACCGTCCGGGGCCTGCCCCTGCTGCAGTGCCAGTGTGCTAGGTAGGCAGCTTGGTTCCGTTCCGTCACACTGGCTGTGGGAGCCCAGGCACCACCTCCGGCAGGGGCTGCTGCCATCCTGTGAGTGGAGGTGGTTTTTAAACTGGCTGCCCTTACAGACCAGCTCCCGCCTGGCACCCTGCACTTCTGCCTCTGATACAGAGGCAGCAGCCCAGAATGTCAGGGAGGTTCCTCAGAAGTGGGGCCAGTATAACAATACACATTTTCTTTGCGCTAAAATGACAATTGAATAGATGACTCAATTTTAATTTTGTTTGCAAATATTTTAATAAACTCTAATCATAATAGTCATGACTTTTTTTCCAATGCAAAACAAAAATAATTATTTAAAAACCCTTCACCCAGCATATTCTGGTGTAAAAAGTAATGCATTCAGCTAATTGAAAATGGAGGATTCTTCATGCAATATTTGGTATTTGGGCACTCAGATACCACCTCTTTCCATGGACAGGAGCTGCTCCAGCAGCAACCTCAGTCCACAGTGAACCTGGGCCCACCCCAGGAAGGGGCTGCTGCCATAAAGCAGCCTCTATCCATGGTGAGCCAGGGTTTGCTGTTCACAGTAGCCTCCCCTGCCCTCTCCCCCCATGCTAAGGAGCCAGTGCTAGGGGAAAATGAGCTTTTAAGTTTGCTAGCACCAGCTCCTGCTCCCCCTCTTGCTGCCTGATACAGAGGCAGCAAGCGGGGGGCGGGGGGGGGCAATGCTAGTATTCAACTAGATTAGCCAATAAGCCTAGGCTTATAGGCCTGGCCCATGCTGCTTCCCACGTCTCCCCTTGGCTGCAAAAGATGAAATGGAGCCAATGGGAGCCATGAGGCTCCGTGGCCACTGCGCCAGTAAATAAAATGGGGCGGCCAGTTAATGTGTTTGAGAGTGATTCCACAGAACACTTTCAGAAATACTGGTCTAGACCATCCTTGATAAATGTCTATCTAACCTCTCTTAAACATCTCTAGCAATGGAGATTCCACAACCTCTGTAGGTAATTTATTGAAGTATTGAACCATCTTGACAGGTAGGAAGTTTTTCCTAACACCCAACCTAAACATCCCTTGCTGCAATTTAAGCCCATTGCTTCTTATTCTAGCCTCGGAGGCCAAGGAGAACAATTTTTCTCCCTCCTCCTTGTGATACCCTTTTAGATACCTGAAGACTGCTATCATAGCCCCTCTGTGTCTTCTCCTTTCCCAACTAAACAAACCCAGTTCTTTCAGTCTTCATTGATAGGTCATGTTCTCTAGACCTTTAATCATGTTTATTGCTCTTCTCTGGACCTCCTCCAAATCTTTCTTGAAATGTGGTGCCCAGAACTGGACACAATACTCCAATGGAGGCCTAATCAGTACAGCGTAGACCCGAAGAATGATTTCACATCTTGCTCAAAACACTCTTGTTAATGCATCCCAGAATCATGTTTGCTTTTTTTGCAACAGTGTCACACTGTTGACTCATATTTAGCTTGTGGTCCCCTATAACCTCTAGATCCCTTTCTGCAGTACTCCTTCCTAGACAGTCACTTCCCATTCTGTGAGAGACTCATTGTTCCTTCCTAAGTGGAGTACTTTGCATTTGTCCTTATTAAACTTCATCCTATTTACCTCAGGCCGTTTCTCTAGTTTGTCCAGATCATTTTGAATTATAACCTATCCTCCAAAGCAGTTGTAACTCCTCCCAGCTTCATATCATTGTCGACAGTTCTCTGAAAACATCCACTCAGTGTGCAGCAGCAGTCAAGAAAGCAAACAGAATGTTAGGAATCTTTAAAAAAAAGGATAGAGAATAAGACAAAATATCTTATTGCCTCTATATAAAACCATGATACGCTCACATCTTGAATACTGCCTACAGATGTGGTCATCTCAGCTCAAAAAAGATACATTGGCATTGGAAGAGGTTCAAAAAAGAGCAACAAAAATGATTAGGGGTTTAGAACAGGTCCTATATAAAGAGAGCTTAAAAAGACTTGGGACTTTTCAGCTTAGAAAAGAGGAGAGTAAGGGGTGGGGGGATAGGATAGAGGTCTATCAAATCATAACTGGTGTGGAAAAAGTGAATAAGGAAAAGATATTTATTTATTCCTGCAATTAGGAACTAGGGGCCATCAAATGAAATTAATAGGCAGCAGTTTTAAAACAAAATAAAGTTTTTCCTTCAGTCCGTGCAGCCAACCTCTGGAAGTCCTTGCCAGAGGATATGGTGAAGAGTAGGACTTTAACAGGGTTCAAAATGAGCTAGACAGATTCTTGGAGGTTAGGTCCATCAATGGCTATTAGCCAGGATGGGTAGGAATGGTCTCCCTAGACCCATGGTCACCAACAGGTCGATTGCGATCAACTGGTCCGGAATTGCGCTAGCTGCTCTGCCGGGTGTACTGCAGGAGGGAACATCGGCTCCCTGCACCGTACAGGAGGGGTGAGTCAGCCCCGGGGGAGGCACGCGCAGGGGGGAGGTTAGGTCCATCAATGGCTATTAGCCAGGATGGGTAGGAATGGTCTCCCTAGACCCATGGTCACCAACAGGTCGATTGCGATCAACTGGTCCGGAATTGCGCTAGCTGCTCTGCCGGGTGTACTGCAGGAGGGAACATCGGCTCCCTGCACCGTACAGGAGGGGTGAGTCAGCCCCGGGGGAGGCACGCGCAGGGGGTTTCCCTGCGCCGGGGGGGGTCGGCCCTGGGGCAGGCGCACACAGTGTTTCCCTGTGCTGGGGGGTTGGTCCCGGGGCAGGCGCGCGCACGCGGGGGGGTTCACTGCACGGGGGC